GACGTTCTTTGCAGGGTGAGCTAAAAGTCCCTTGAAGAATCATTCTTGACATAACACACTAATTTATACAGATTTTGGCTGATGTTCAAAAGAAGCAAAATCTGGTAAACTGCACCTAGACCATTATTAACCAAAACACGTTTTTTGTTACACATTTCAATAAAATATGCACTAATTGTTGGTGGATGCTGATTTAATTCCAGTACCAGTTTATAGCCTTTGTTCAAGTGACGTGCATTAATTTTGTGTCAGTAGGAAGTGATTCATTCAGCAGTCAGGATAATGGATAAAGCAAAACCAGCAGATTTAATTTTCTAAAAAGTGTTCTTTATAGTGCATAATTAGCAGATATCTAAATGCAATGCATGAAACATGCAACCTTCAATTATGCAAGCATTTGTGCCTCCTTTCTATCTACATAACTGGTTCTGATACCTTGTTTTTTTTTCTCTTTAGCTGAGTGTCTTCAAGGATAGATCTCAGGCCACCAAACTCTTCATATTTTAGCCTAGGTATGATTTGTATGCATCAGTTGTAGAGGGGAAAGCCTAAACAATGTTTGGGTTGCCCGACCCCTCCGGTGGTAGCTCTCCTGTGATGTGAACTCATCAGGAGAGGCATGCACGGGCTCAAACTCAGTGTGCACCAGTAGCTTAAATGAGCCTGCCTGAGTGCTTGAAGAATAGCACACAGGCTCCAGAACCATATTTGTGCCCATGTGCTAAAACCCCTGAAACAAATACTTTCATTTCAAAGGACTTATTCAACCTGCATTTCAACCGCACAGAGAGACCCTTAATTCTGCTTTTGATCCCGAATAAGCGTAATCGAATGTTATGGAATGCTCTCGCCCTCTCCTTAATGTTACTTCCTTGCTTGCTTTACACAAATTGCCTAAATTGCACAGATCAATAAGATCATCACATTATTGTCAAAGGAAAAATAAAAATTATGGGTTTTTCCTCTCACCCTTTACTGATGATCATTTTCAAAACACCCAGAGAATCTCTGCAAGAGCTTTCTGTTTTCTGACTAGTTCATAACGTTAAAAATGTATTTAATATCTTGATTTTTACTTTATTAATGCTTTTTAGCTAAATGGTTATGAGAGCCCCGTAGCTCTGATTTGAGAAGCTTTGTTCTTCTTTGAATAGAGTTCTGTGTTTTGCAGCATTGTTGGCAATATTTTAGCTTCATAAAAATGAGTGTATTAAATTGAATGCATATGCTTCCATCTTTGGAATTTGCGGTCTTAATCTTGACAGTTTTTTTTTCTCTTTTACGTAAGAGGAAGGGTGTTCTTTACAGCATTCAATGACATGCAATTTTGACACAGTTTTAATTCCTAAAGGTTCTTGTGCAATTCCTTAAGTGTGCTTAATGGATAACTCACACAGAGGCTTCAGTCTACAGAAGCGATTTGGAACAGATAAATTGTGCCAGCCTGAACCAGTTTTATTTTTTGCCATGAGTGTTTTATAATCCGTTTTGGATTATACAGATCATAATACAGGTTGAATGATCTGCCTTAAAATATTTCTATGTTTTAATCAGCATTTTGGAAATCTGTGTTGTAGCTTTTCAGTGAGGTCAGAGACTAATGTACAAAATACTCAATAGGCTAAAAAATATTTTAAATATTAAGATATCTTAAATACATGAATACAAACCTCCTCATATTGTGCCAGCAGTGGAAATCTGCAGGGCTTGTTACATCAAGAGTGGGTGTGTGGGAGGCTTTGGCGACGGTGCTACTCAGTAGCTGGAAAAATATATCGACAACATGAACATTAGGTAAAATACAGTTTAAATAGATGGAACTACTTCGTGGTCGAAGGATTAGTTATCTTTAAAATACTTTATTTTGTGTGTGTGTTTTTAAGTATCGCATCCACAAAGCCCTGTATTCCAAGATGGATAAATGTCTGGCAATATGCATGAAGGGATTGTTAGTTTCTAGAACCCAGTAGTCTATGGCTAATAAGTGACTCCAAAGCAACCTCTTCCTTGAAATGTCACTTGAAGCAAAGTCCGAATTGTGCAGCTGAGTGTCTGATGAAGTTCAGTGGTGGATTTAAAATGGATCACATAGAAGAGTGAAACGTGTATTGATAGGCTGTTGAACACCAGCACTGGAGCACACAGCTTCAACTGAGAGCAGAGAAGAGGAAAAATCTGTTATGAAATATGAAAAGATTTTACAAAAATGAAAGAAAGTGAAATTACCTTTAACTTTACCTCTGTTGATAAAGTAATAGGGTATAATTTAATCAAATATGTTTTGTTTAGAATGTCTTAATTTCTAAGTTTCCTAACTTCTTAATTATGTGCACAGTAGTAGACAATATATGCTTAAATGTGGTCATGTACCTAAAGGAATATAAAATAGTCCATCTTAGTAAATTACTATTAACAAAACTACAGCCTTTGCAGCTTAACTATTGCACCAACATATGAAAAACACAACTGAGGTATAATTTTTTTTCTGTGTGCAGACAGGCAGAGCCGCATTCGTTCTCTTTTCCCTCCGTCATTAAAGTCGTATTCTAGTTGTAAAAATGTTCTGTCACTAGGGGCTCACGAGCTGGAGAAACAGCTGTTGGTATGCAAACACCTCCAGAAGCCCCCGCCAGTCAACATCCGCTCATTCTTCCTCTCTCTCCCTGTATTGCAGCCTCTTGGAGAGACAGGAGTCAGTGGCCACCACAGAGGCCCGTCTGAGGATGGAGGGCGTGGAGCTGAAGGAGGAGTGGCAGGACGAGGATTTTCCCAGGTACTCGGACACCGAGGCCCTAGTTTCTCCTCGGTACCCATCTGTTCTTCACACAGCTGTACGGCGCTGCGTGACAATGGTGCCTTTTCAGTCACACGAGCGGTTTATATTTAACCCCTTTCGAGGGAAACGAGCTGCACAAAGTGCGCTCCATTACATTAATATTCAATAGAAACAATTAACACTCACATGATGATAATAATAATAATATTTTATATCATTAAAAAGTTTTTTATGCTCCAAAGTTGGGAACCTTCCATACATGACAGTTTGGAAAATGTCATGCAAGTATTGTAATACAATATACAATACAAAACCTATCCTAATCCATTAGCCTGTCGTTTAACCAAATATTTAGGAAAAGGCCACCAACCAAAAAGTGAATTTTTAACTTTGATGGGGGGGGGAAAAGAAAGGGTAGGAGCACTTTCTCTGGTAAGACAATGCATTTCTCTGAACTTTATTACAGTAAAATACCCTTTATTGTAGTCAGAATGGCTACAATAATGGCCAGTTTTAAAAATTTGACCCTCATAATTTATTTTTATAATAGAAATGTCTTCAATCCCTTTATTAGGCTATTTCACTAGTGGGCATCAATCATTCTTTATTCTTTTTAGTAAATTCTATTTTGTGCAGTTGCCATGTCCCTCAGATGATGATGCAAATTTGTAACTCATTTAAGAGAAGTGAAAACAGGCTCAGTATAGCAAGTGCTGTTGAGTGAGCAGTGAAGGAGGCTCTCCTAATGACAGCTGTTTCCAGTATTGCTTCAGAACCGCACTGAGAGCAGAGTGGGGTAGAGACTCTGGACAGTAACGTAGTTTTTACTTCACTTTCTACAATAACAGAATAAGAAAAAATAGCATAGAGTATTGAAAGAGCATTGTTAACCATTTGTTGTTTTCTTCGGACCAACTTAAATCTTTGTGTTCGTAACTGAGAAATTTGAAAGAGAAAAACCTAAAACTTTTTTTTAAGTTGACAAAATCCTCCAGGGATGGGGTAGTTGACACCTCTAGTAGACTAACTGCTGGTTACATGCCTTTTGTGCTTAGGCCACTTCCAGAAGAAGAAGAGGACATGCAGATGGATGAGGAGCTCTTCACTGGGAGAGAGGGTAACTCTGGTAGGTCATAAGAGATCTCTGGAGGTGGAACATTTTTTTGCTGGGTAGCTATATATATTTTTTTTGTTTCTTCACATGTAATATAAACAATAATCTACACTTTACAGTAAAACAAAATTGCCCAAGAATTTGACTCTAAACACAAAAACAAGTGATTATCTTTTGTTTTTCATTTTTCTTGGTCTAAATGTAAGCTAGCGTCTGTATCAGCCTCCTGTTTTTAGCCAGTGCAACAAGCCAACCTAGACTACTAAAATGTTAAGTTTTATTTTAAAGAATGTCACCTTTATGTTCTACCTGAATCTCCCTAACCTCTCTTATCAATACTGCATCATGTGGTAGGATCTGCCACTTGGTATTGAACCAGTTATAAAGGTTTGTCATGAAATGCTTCTGTGATTCATTTCTGTAAGATGACCCTTTTACATTTTGATTCTTTAGCCACACAGTCCTATGAGCTAAATAGTGACAAAAAAGCCAAAAAAAAGCTGATGGCCCCTTATATCAGCCTGACACTGGACCGCACTGAGGGGTCTGTTCTGTCGGATGAGATGGAGGAGAGTGGGGAATTGGATCTGGACGACATTGATACCCCCTCTGATAACAGCAATGAATTTGAATGGGAAGGTAAGAACATGTTTTGTTCTTGGCCAGAATCATGGCCAGACATGTATGACTAAATTTAAACCTTACGTGTTAATTCATTGTTACTGTAGAAGTGTAGAAAATTACTAAATGCTTAATTGTGTTAAATTTGCCAGAGTCTCAAAGACAAGGGATAAACGCTTGTACTGAAATATTCATAAGTAAGCAACAGAGCTCTGTTATTACAAAGTTATTTGCTTATAAATTACATTCTGAACTGAGATAGAATGAACATTGATGCATACTTTTGTAGATTGTGCAAACCTCCTACACAATAAAAAAGGTTTTCATTCATTCCTAATACTTATCCTGTCTTGTCCTGCCTTTGACCTCAAAATTGCATTAAAATAATAACAGTGAGGTACAAGTATTTGCATGCGTTAAATGGTATTTTTAAAGCTCCAGTTTTATATAAAGTTGTATTTAGAATATTCTTTCTTTCTAACCAAGTGATTTATTTCTCTAACCACAACGTTAATAAACTCCTGAACTTTAGTTATATTCACGTCAATTTGTCCAGTTAAAATACGTTTTTGTTAAATCAATCAAAGTCATGACATAAGGTAAAACTAACACGTCTTGGAGTTATCTAAATACTTACTTCTCTGTTCAGCTGGGGATTATTTCAGGTATGGACATGAAGCAGATTTCATGGTTTCTGAGAGAGGGCCTGCTGCTTAAAAGGATAATATTTGGAACAGAGTTCCAGCTTCGTTCAGTACATGGCTGAAGACATCCAGGAAGTCTTCAGAAGTAGAATAGAGATGATTCTCCAGTCTGTCCTGCAGTAACCTGGGATCACTTGGTTAAAGTGAATTTAATCTGTTCAATGAAATGGCTGCATACAGTGATGAGTGTGGAGTGGTGGCAGGGAGAGCAGGAAAAACTGAACTGGAATTCCAAGTGTGTGCGGTGATACATTTTATAAAACCCTAGGTTAATCTGTAATAGCAATTCATTGTGTTAGCTTCATCAGTATTTACCCCCTCCTTGCCATTTTATCACTTATATTGTGACATCCTCAAACCTGAGTGGAAAAAGGCACAGTAACATCTGAGTGGTTCATAAATGTGTTAAAATAGTGTCTTATTTTTCTGTCTCCACTGCTGCTTTCTGCTTTCTGTCCTGGAAGGATTGTTTCCATTCATTGCTTGGAAACAGGCCACTGGCCAGCATCATGTTTCTCTTCCCTCTGTGGTAAGGTTTCCTAGCTAGAGATGGCAAGTGTCTCTCTCATGTATCTGAAAAATCAGATGAAGTCCTGAGGTTTTGATTCTCTTCAGCCCAATGCAGCGAATGCGTCTTGTGTAACAAATCAAGTTATTTTTTAACATTTTTTGTTTTCTTTTTAACACGGATGTTTTGCATGTTTCTTTTCGCCTCAGTCTCATTTCATTTAAAATTAATTTTGAACAAATCACACCCCAGACTTGTAATCATAGAGATGATCATTCAGCATGATTTTTTTTTATTCTTTGCACAAGAATTTTATTACAACATAATATTTGGGCAAATTACCTTCACCCCAAGTCGTATCAGGTAATACCTAAGATAGAATAATGTCTACACTGTCTAATAAAAAGTTAAACTGATTTGGATTAATGTTTTTTTACCTTTTCTTTGTTTTGAAATTATAGAATTTTACATGTTTCAGTAGGAGTGGAAAAGAATCTCTCTAAAATATAAACAGATGAGCTTTAATTGTACGTTCATTTACATTGCATTCTCTGTATGCTTAGCTCATGTCTGATCTAACAAAGGAAACGAGCTTGAGGAGACTTGTTTAGTCAAGCACAGACTGTCAAAAAAATGAACTAATTTAGAGCAGCTTGGGGGTCATGGAACTGTGAACCTACATTGTCCATGTGTCCATTCATTGTCCACGGAACTATGCACCTTCATAGTTCTCTTGGAGGGGAAATACATTTAATCAAAAGACCCCTATTATGTACTAGAAATCATTGATCAGTCTTGAAATTAATACTCTAACCAATTGATTTGTATATGGCAAGACATTACTTTTATTTCTACTTTTGTTTCTAGTACTTTCCATTGTAAAACCTTTGATATGGTTTGGCTTTTTCTTATTACTTTGAAGATCATCCAAGTTGAATGTACTGTATGGAAATTTCTCTCCTTTCAAGTATTGGTGATTAAGTGCTGGGTACGTCACACCGACATGCCGGAATCGATTCTGAGGTGTGGTGCATCTTTGGGGGGAAG